TTGTTGTAGGCACTACGCCCACCTGACTTGCAAGGCATAGGGTGTCCCAAAAATATGTACACGCTATTTGATCGTTGATATCTCTCTTCCCGCAAAGGGTCTTTGTCGACCTTTGAGTAATGCGCGAAGCCGCCATGAACTCAAATACATTGTATGGGACATGTTACCAACCATTCTTCATTACTGTAGGATCACGGTAGGATTTGAAGGGAATTGTAAGAATTAAGTGTTACAGAAATGAAACCAAACAACTTTCACATCAGTGGCGGAAAGAAAAATTTCCACCGGAGAAGGGGGGGGGGTCATGTTAGCATGCATCAAACTACTGCACAACTTTCCCGATTTTTGGATTTTTTAAAAGGGCAATTAGAATGGCCTGCACGCTGGAAATCGTATACAGGAGCTGTCGGTGAATCGCTTTATACTGTGAATCTAAGCTGGAGCTAGCTCCACAGAATATCACACGATTAAGCTTGTCTGATAGTGTGTGCAAACCGGTTGCGAGTTTTCTTACTGTTAGTTGCAGAATACAATATCGCTTATAATTCGTCAAAAAAAGTCGCCGCACTCCAGCGGAGTGCGCAGAGTGCGCTGCAGTGCACCGGAGTGCGGCGGAGTGCCGGAGTGCGGCGGAGCGCGCCGGAGAGCAGCGGAGTGCACCGCACTCCACTAAAGTGCGCCGGAATCGGAGTCGCATCGCCATATATCGCCTCAGAATAGACGTATTCTGATTCCAAGGACATCCTTCAACTCAGCTTGGCGAGACGCATCATCTGGTTTATAGATGTGCCACAATCTGTCGGGGTAGGTAGGTATATTGTTATCAGTAGGTTTTCGCTCAATTTCGCTTATCGGCAACGTATAATACCGCTCACCGAATCTGCAGAATTTCAGTGAACGTCGCGGAAATCCAGGAATTCCACGAAAGTTCGCCACTTTTTCGGAATCCCGCGTCATCTCAAGAATTTCGCGAAATTACGGGAATTCCGCGAAATGTTGAGAATAAGGCAAACTACGCAACACCATAACTTCCTTCGGAATGAATATAATCTGAATTCAAAGACAGCATTGTGTTCAGCTCGTCAAGGCAAATCTTCTGGTATACAGCAGGCCCTCGATATCTCGTTTCCAGTCTTCTCAAATTCTTCTGCGAAGGTCCTTTCGCATCGATGTAACAGAGCGCTTATCCAGCATAAAAGATTCCAGTAAGTACTGTTTGATAGTACTATTCTTGTAATCGTGAGCTAATTACAGTCTGCCTCAATCGGGATCAGGCCGAACCGTCGGCTGAATTTGCGCGCTCGCAGCGCTAGAGGTTTGCGCTGCATAAGCCTGTCGCAGAGAGCGAAGAGATTGAGGAAAGAGCAGACTAGCTAGACGCAGAAGTGGCGCGAAACCCTTGCGGCGCGCACTCCCGCCAATCCAATTTTGGCCTGGTTAGGATTGGGGCAGACTGTAGTAGCCGTATACTTCTTTTCAAAAAAGAAAGAAGCGTTGGTAAATTCTGGAAAAATCACGCGTTTTCAGAATCTAATTGCCGTAATGCGTGCGTAATAGGCTCGCACGCATACAATTGCCTCTTCGACTATGAAGTAGTGTGCGTTCGGCGCATGCCCGCAGAGGGTATTGAAGACGCCGAATCCTTTATCCTTTTTATCCTTTAATCTCCGTAATTTCCTTCGGAATTGATTTATTCCAAATCAGAAAAAAGACATTGTGCTCAGCTCATCAAGGCAAATCCTTCGATATACAGCATGTCCTTTATATTCCAATTTCAGTAATCTTGAAATTTTCTGCGGACCTTTCTTCGCAATGGTGTAAAGCAGCGCGCATTGCTCCTTATAGATTACAGCGAAAACCCTTCAATAGACTTCTTCTGTAAATTATAGGGCGCCAAAGTAGCCCTAGGACCCTTTCCAAAGGAGATAGAGGGGCTGGTGAATTGTGGAAAACGTGTCGTCTTCAATTCTAGTCCTCACAGCTCTAGAACACGAAGCTATCTTACTAAGCATATGTGAATTTTATAAGCAGCAGATTGGATAACCCCTATGAGCAAGTTTTCAGAGAACTTCGGGTTATTTGATTTTTCTCGTTTCACGCTCTGAAGCACGCCAGTGGATTTTGGACGAAATGTTGATGTTCTTGATTTGATTGTATGCTCACGTTGAAAGTTCGACGAAGTATGCGATCTTAACATTTTGGGCAAACGCATGAGGACGTGTTTTCGTAGGCTCGTAACTCGGCGATTGTTACAGATTGCAGCTTGAGACATGGACCATCCGATAGCACAGTTCTTAGTAAATTTAGCTCTTAAATGCAAGCAGGCAAGTTTTCTGACAGGTACGCAATAGGTGCGGGCGAAATTACAAGCTTTCGTGACTCCGTTACAATTACCTCACCATATCTCCGCCAAATGACCCTGTACTTGAACTGAACACGGTTTCCATAAACAGCGTGTTCGAAAACCTCTATGAACGGAGTTTCCTTCCAAATCAAGAACATCAACATGTCGACCAAAATCCACTGGCGTGCTTCAGAGCGTGAAACGAGAAAAATCAAGTAACTCAAAGTTTTCTGAAAACTTGCTCATAGGGGTTATTCAACCTGCTGATTACAATTCACATCTGCTCAGCAAGATAGCTTCGTATTCTAGGGCTATGAGGAGTGGAACTGGAGACGACACGTTTTTTCCACAATTCACCAGCCCCTCTATCTTCCTTGGAAAGGGTCCTGGGACTACTTTAGCGCCCTATAATTTACAGAAGATGTACTATCAAAGGGTTTTCGCTGTAGTCTATAAGGAGCAATGTGCGCTGCTTTACACCATTGCGAAGAGAGGTCCGCAGAAAAATTCAAGAATATCGAAATTGGAATATAAAGCACATGCTGTATATCGAAAGATTCGCCTTGATGAGCTGAGCACAATGCTTTATTTCTGATTTGAAATAAATCAATTGCGAAGGAAATTACGGCGATTAGAATCTGAAAACGCGTGATTTTTCCAGAACTCAGCAACGTTTCTTTCTTTTTTGAAAAGAAGTTTACGGCTACTAATTAGCGCACGATTACAAGAATAGTACTATCGAACAGTACTTACTGGAATCTTTTATGTTGGATAAGCGCTCTGTTACATCGATGCGAAAGGACCTTCGCAGAAGAATTTGAGAAGACTGGAAACGAGATATCGAGGGCATGCTGTATACCAGAAGATTTGCCTTGACGAGCTGAACACAATGCTGTCTTTGAATTCAGATTATATTCATTCCGAAGGAAGTTATGGTGTTGCGTAGTTTGCGTTGTTCTCAACATTTCGCGGAATTCCCGTGATTTCGCGAAATTCCTGAGATGACGCGGGATTCCGAAAAAGTCGCGAACTTTCGTGGAATTACTGGATTTCCGCGACGTTCACTGAAATTCTGCAGATTCGGTGAGCGGTATTATACGTTGAGCCGAATTCAAAACAAACTTATCAAAGTGACTCTGTATCATGCTCCTACAGTATCCCTACGATGTGCCATCAGAGGTAAATCAATGGTAATATTGTTATCAGCACATTGGACAATTCAACCAAAAAAACAAAATTGAGCGAAAACCTACTGATAACAATATTTTATTTATTTTATTTATATATACACTCATGGTGTACCATTAAAAGACCGAAATATAACCGAAATATACCTACCTACCCCGACAGATTGTGGCACATCTATAAACCAGATGATGCGTCTCGCCAAGTTAAGTCGAGGAGTGTCCTTGGAACCAGAATACGTCTATTCTGAGGTAAAATATGGCAATGCGACACGGATTCCGGCGCACTCTAGTGGAGTGCGGTGCACTCCGCTGCTCTCCGGCGCACTGCAGCGCACTGTGGCGCACTCCGCTAGAGAGCGGCGATTTTTTGACGAATTATGAGCGGTATTGTATTAGGTTGGTTCATAATTAATGCACGTTTTGAATTTTAACCGCAATAAGTCATACACTTTTCATTCTTATATAGGCTTCAAAGTCATTGGATAGAGCAAAGCAAGCTCTACAAGATGGCACTCATGTCTTTGCGCCATGCTCGATCCACGAGAGTTCGAATTCAAAATCTAAAGATTTCCAAATACCCAAAAAATCGAAAAAAAATCAGATCTTCGTCCAAATAATTTCTACGGACCTCCCACTCGCTCACATCAATACTATCGATATCTGATATCCACATGTGCGATTGCCGTATTTTCCCTTGACTAGAAATTGAGATAATGAAAATTTCCGTGATTTTCTCAAAGCAATGCTGAGCCGTTTTTGCATATGTAGTTCTATACTACAAGCCTAGGTAAGTATAACTGTAGATTTTCAGCCCATTCCAAGCGATAGTTTTCGAAAAATAACGAATTCAAATTTTTTCGTTTCAGTTTCAGTGCTAAAATCGACATTTCTCGAAAAGTACCGTTCGAAATAGGCTGAAAATTTACAGTCATGCTTACCTAGGCTTGTAGTATAGAACTACATATGCAAAAACGGCTCAGCATTGCTTTGAGAAAATCACGGAAATTTTCATTATCTCAATTTCTAGTCAAGGGAAAATACGGCAATCGCACATATGGATATCAGATATCGATAGTATTGATGTGAGCGAGTGGGAGGTCCGTAGAAATTATTTGGACGAAGATCTGATTTTTTTTCGATTTTTTGGGTATTTGGAAATCTTTAGATTTTGAATTCGAACTCTCGTGGATCGAGCATGGCGCAAAGACATGAGTGCCATCTTGTAGAGCTTGCTTTGCTCTATCCAATGGTACTTTGAAGCCTATATAAGAATGAAAAGTGTATGACTTATTGCGGTTGAAATTCAAAACGTGCATTAATTATGAACCAACCTAATATATGGCGTCTACTTTTGGGAAACTCGAAATATCGCTATTAGCGGTTATTCATTTCCTTCAAGCGCGTCAAACACTACTCTGACATGCAAAATATGGCAAATGCTTACATCTGAATGATTTCAATGTGTTTAGTATTCAAAAGCGATCGACAGCAAGGAAACGAGAGAGCGGCCAAGTCCACCCATCAAATCTCGTAATCATGACTCGCTGGATTTGTCTGGTACGTTCGCCTTTCAAAAAGTCTCAAGTAGAATGCATGTTGATGCTATGAAATAATTTAACATATTCAGCTTACGATGTTTTACCAAGAAGTCTTCAAGACGTAGCCGAACAACAACTGGACGGCTTCTCAAATCCAGAGATTCGACGACTTGATAGAGAAATCAACGGTGAATTTTGGTTGTGGAGTGTACAAGCTTTATCCAGCAACATATCTCATATCGGTCTGAATTGGGTGGGGGACATTAGGTCGCCGAAAAAGGGCGGTCCCCGCGGTCATTTGCGACAAATACGCACCCTTGTACATGCGCGGACATGCGTTCCTGCAGGGAATCCGCGCGGGACTCTTCCAAATTCGGCGACCTAATGTCCTCCACCCGTCTGAATTAACCCAGATATCCAATCCAAACTTTTGTTTCTTACGTGGAAAGGATAATCAGTGACCCTGGTTCGATATGTGTGACATATGTCATGCGTTTGCCTTGAAACGCTGATCTCAAAAATGTGTTCGTTATCTGCGGAACAATTCTTGAAAAATTAACTCCTCGCATCCGACTGTTTGCCCAAAAATATAGGTTGTTGATAGGTTGTAAAAGTGTCAAATTTTAGCGAGTGCTGCCGATTATTCCACAGTGGATGCCGGTTTGATCTCTGTTGCAATCTCTTTGCGTTCCCTTCCACAAGCGCCTTCTCTTAATAAAGCATCCCCGGCAGACAACGAACATAAATTGCGGTTTATAATTATACGGAACCCAAAATCCAAAAAAAGTTTTTGGACTTTTTCGGAGAAACTCAAAAAGCCGTTGGTACCACGCGATAGAACACAGCCGAAAACGGTATATGATCCATAAGAATGGAAATTGGTGTCAATCTTAGGAGTGATTTTACGCCTAATGCGACTTTTTAGTGGTTCATAATTATACGAACACCTAAAGCAAGGGTTCATTTTTCATTCAAGATTGCAATTACTTGAGTCCAAATTTTTTGTAGAGTTAAAGTAACAAAGTCTCTGCTACACATTCGACCCAGTGCAGTTCAAAAAGAGGACCGTCACTTTTTTCAGAAGGCTCTAAATGCTTTCGGAGTGATTGCGCTGTAAAAACATCCGTTCTTCTGTGCCAGAGCTATGAGATAAAATAAGCTCTTTCGATAGGTATTTTGTTTGACGCTTGGAAAATCTTTTGCGTTTTTGTGCCGTTTTTCAACCAAGTTCCAACCTTACCACAGAGTTAGCACGATTTCGAGCCTCAAAACTCAGCTTCTGAAGCCGTACAATGAAGTAAGCATATAGTATGTAAAAGTTGACAAGACTGTATATTTGGCGAGCTCCTTTACTCGTACCGCTCAGAGGACTATTTGTGATTTTCGATTTCCACTGGCATACATTACTAGTTGATCGCTCTTCTTGATGAAGTAGGTGTTTGTCAATGCCAATTCATGAGCGGAAGCGAACTCCAGAATTCGATCGCCTTCTTTGTTGCGGATCCCATACTCGTGATTTCCGTGGCTTTTACTCGCACCACTGCCCTGACCGACATGGCGTTAAGATCTGCTCCAATTAGGTGCGTCTCTTTTGAAGGTACACATCTGATGTAGGTCATCTAGTTCTTACCAGAAGCCGCCTTTCTCTTCTACCGTGCAACCTGCTTGAGGGGCGTAGCGGTGACTTTTCGAAGAACTCGCTCACCCACATTTAACGTGATGCCCATGAGCCGATCACTTAATCGATCTACACCTGTTATACTATCTCTTAACCGTTCAGAGATGACTATTCCGACGCCGTTTCTTTTGCTGCTTGCTCCCTTATATAGAAGCTTGAAGCCGTCTCCCATATCGCGTAACTTCTCACCCTTCCATCTGGTCACTTGAATGCAGGCAGTATCCACTCTACGTCTTCCAAGAGGATCTGCCCATTCTCGATGTTGCCTTGCAAGAGATCCGGCGTTGACGATGACCAATCAAAGAGGAGAGAACTTGGATCGTTGCTTGTTTTCATAATAAGTCAACTTCTACAGCCGTCCCCGCTCATCTTGTTGGGACGGTAGCCCTCGCTTACCGTTCGCATCTTTCGGGCTCAAATGCGCGTTGCCTCCGGGGAACACCCTAGCTTTTACTCGAAAGTCCTGATAAGACATAAAAGAGCATTGTGATGCGACGGGGTGTTTTCTTCAACCGGCTTGTCGCTTACTTTTTCTTGGATCAGCAGCCTGACGCTGAACTCGTGGGCAAAGCTTTGCCAGAGAGATTAGGCCCGCCGCGGAGACGAACCTGTAATCTTCTTCGCCGAAGTCAAGTGCACTGACCTCTCATCCAACTCTGCCCAAGCAATCCAACTGCACCGCCTGAACAGGGTCCTATCGCAGAAAAAGTTAAAAAGATAGATTTGGTGAGTGTTTCTGCATGACGAAACATGCCTCATACGGCAAACGTCGTCAAAACTGTCCTGTAAGAATTGACTAGGACTTCAACAGCCAAAGTACTCCTTGAACCTCGCCCTATCAGTTTAACATTTGCTCCGCTCTCTAGCAAACCTCATGAGTGGTGAATGCCTCGATTTCAGTAAGTAATTTAAGCGCTGGTCAGATGGCTTTCTCGGGACACGGCCCGCTGCCGGTGCGTGTTTGAAGTTGAGATTGAGAAGCTAAGAAGAATACGCCAAAAGATCGTGCGCTACAATGAGGAAAATAATTTTGATCGGTTTTTACTGTAAATTGATGATTTTGCCGATTTATTAAAACGCTACAAACTTATGGAGCGACCTAATAGTTTTTGCCTTGTCAAGTGCTTTTTATTACTAAAAACACAAAATCTGCCCCATAGTTCATATTGGCACACCCAAATTTTTAGATTTTACTAGATTTACCCGGCTCCGCCCGGCCCTGTCATTATTTTATTCGTAATCAGCATGCTCGATTACCCCTCTGTACCAACTCCCAGCCCCGTAGCTCAAATTTTGCAAAAAAAAATCGATAAAATCGATATCGATCGATGACGAAAAGTAGCCTATGACACCCGCAGGGGCCCGAAGTGTATGTGTGCCAAGTTTGGTTCGAATCGGTTCAGAAATGGAATTTTCTATTCGGAACATACGTACACACAGACATACAGACATACAGACATACAGACAGACAGACAAACAGACATTCAGCTTTATATCAGGTTGTCCCATAAGTTCCGTCCCTTTTAATTTCCGATCGCAATAAGTCATGAACTTCTTGGCTCTAGACAAGTTTTAAGGTACCGTTCGATAGAACAAAGCAAGCTCTACAAGATGAGCTTCTTAGTATCGCACCATTTTAAATCCTTCTCGAGTTTGAAGCCAAAAACCAAAAAGATCTAACCGCCCGAAAAACAAAGAAAAAATCGTAACTTTTTCCAAAAAACTCCTAGAAAGTTTCCAACTTGCTCACAAATACGCTGTCCACATTAGCCAATTATATATACTGTTCCTGTATTTTCTCTTTGAATAGAAGGCGAGAAAACGAGAATTCTCATGTTCTTGCCAAAGTGATGCTGTGCTGTTCTCACACTAGTAGTTGTATACTACAGACCAGTACAAGTACAGACAAAATTTTCAGCGCTCTACAGGCTTTAGTTCTCGAGAAACATTGAATTTAGCTTCTTACGCTTCGTACAGTCGGGTGTCCCGTCTTACGATTATTTCTCGAGAACTAAAGCCTGTAGAGCGCTGAAAATTTGTGTCTGTACTTGTACTGGTCTGTAGTATACAATATTAGTGTGAGAACAGCACAGCATCACTTAGCAAGAGCATAAAAATTTTTGTTTTCTCGATTTCTAATCAAGGATAAGATACAGGAACAGTATATATAATTGGCTGATGTGGATTGCGTATTTTTGAGCAAGTTAGGAATTTTCTAGGATTTTTTTGAAAGGAACTACGATTTTTTCTTTGTTTTTCGGGCGGTTAGATGTTTTTGGTTTTTATCTTTAAACTCGAAATGGATTTGAATTGGCGCGAAAGCAAGATAGTCATCTTGTAGGGCTTGCTTTGTTTTATCGAATGGTACCTTGAAACCTGTCTAAGGCCAAAAAGTTCATGACTTATTGCCATCGTCAAAATGGACAGAACTTATGGGACATCCTGATATATAAGAATGGAAAAGTTCTTTTGTCTTATTTCGCAATTCGGCATGCTGATTGTCCCTACCGTAATCACACAGTAAAAAAAGCTTGGCTTTTTGCTGTCAGTGTTCCCCAAATGTCCGCAAAAGACTTGATAGGAGAGGTGTTAGCTATCGTACAGTGTGTAAATATTCTTGGGACACCTTGTAATGCTATGAATATCGAATTTTCATATTTGATGCTTATAGAATTTTCGAATATTAGATAATCGCCGGGCAAGGCGGCCCGCAAACTCGCGCTTTTTTGCAAGCGGTCAGAAAAATTTTGGGGAATGGCCAAACCTTCAGCCAGCAGCAATACAACATTTTCTGCAAGCGCTCGGCAAATAATTTCTTTCAGCGAGCGCTGGCCAAACTTTCAGCAAGCGCTCGGACTCTTTTTAAGCAGTTTAGGGCAAACGCCAAACAAGGTTGAGTCTCTATGTGGCAGAGGTGTCATTGATGGTTCAATTATTCAAGTTTGGGGTACTTTCCCTCAGCGGAAAGTACCTGGGGACTGCGCGGTCCTCCACAAAGGATCGTGCGGCCCTCATTAATTTCGCACATTCTCGTGGAAAGTCCGCGAGAATGTGGCCACTGCGCCGCAATAAATCTATGAAAAGGCCGCAATTGTTCTCCGAACGTTCGTCTAAAATTCCCTCTTTTCAAAATTCTGCAAGCGGATCGCAAGAGATCAGCAAACTAATTTTCGGGTGCCCGCCTGCCCATAAATCGCATGGCCGCCTGTCCCGGGGATTATCTGACAAGGGAACCGTGTCGAGTCGAAGTGGCCTTTCTCGATGAGACCCATATTGCTTGAAGAGCATTAAGCGATGATTCCAAATCTGCCTTTCAAGTCTGCCAAGCGCCTCTGGACGCCGAGTTATGACCGTTCTTCGGAACGAAAAATGAAAGCAGATCTCAGGTAAAATTGATTGTTACAATCTTTCCAGCGCTTAGATAAAGCAATGTTAAATATTAGCATATTAGATAAAATTATCCATTGCATAAACAGCTCCGATACTTGACACTGGACCATTTGAGCAAATTTGGGCAATTTTGCTTCAGTTTTGCGTTCAATTTTTTGACCCAAAAAACGAGCATAACTCGGCGTCCAGAGGCGCTTGGCAGATTTGGGAAGCAGATTTGATTCGCCGATTAATGCTCTTCAAAGCAGTATGGTTCTCATGTGGAAAGGCCACTTCGACTCGACACGGTTCCCTTATGAGTAGAAGGGAGGGACATACCTTAAGATAGATGGGATCGAGCAATCAGTTCTTCGGGGCTTCAGGAGATGAAAATCTTTCTGTGAACTGCACTCCCCGTCCGGGCGGAGATGTTCATGCATGCGAGCCTTGAAGGGATAACATAGAAGTGCTAATCAACTACTTCTCTCAGTTCAGGAAACAACATGTCCTCCTCAATGGTGATGAAACGGTTAGCTGAACAACGATATCACGACTCAGACGGCTCTACACAGAGAAGCCTCGCAGCCGAGATACAAGAACTAAAATTTAGACCAGAAATAAGCGTAAGTTTCATACTTCCGTTCACACTCTGATTTTCAAGCTTTGAGATTATTGTTTACACTCTGATTTTTGAGCTTTGAAATTATTTTCTACAGTCTGCCCCAATCGTGATCAGGCCGAACCGCTGGGTGAATTTGCGCGCTCGCAAAGCTAGGAGTCTGCGCTGCATATGCGCGCTGTCGCAGAGAGCGAAGAAAATGAGGAGAGAGCAGACTGGCTAGCCGCAGACGTGACGCATTACCCTGGCGACACGGGTTCCCGCCATGCCAATTTTGGCCTGGTTATGATTGGAGCAGACTGTACAGCTGGACTTGTGCAGTTTCTTAGCTAATAAGGGAATGGTCAGGACTCGAAGGCGCAATTTCAAATAAGCCTTATATAGTTGCATGCGGGGAAACGTTTATAACGGGTCGGAACGATACATCCAAATTTATCTGCTAGCGCACTTTGGATGAATCTTTAAGCAGTTTCACTGCAAGAAAACCGTGCACAAAAATCCAAATTAGACACACAAATTCTTTTAGCTTACTCCTAGCCGTGATTGTCTGCTTGTTTCGCCTCAGCACTGAGAAATGGCGATTTTATTTGCAGTATAATGGCTGCTTTGCTTACGAAGGCGCAGGGGCAGTGTCCAGGTACCAGTCCCCGCTACTAGCGGACGACTTGCATCAGCTTACAGGGGGACCAATCGCGGGGCCCACAAGTCCACGCAAAGCCGCGCAAACCAAGCAAGTCTTCCGCCAAATAGGTGGTGGGTTCTGATTCAGAGATGAATTTGTGTGCACTATTTGCACTCCAGACTTACCTCCGGTACATAGAGCCGTTCTGATGACTTTCACTTTGAGCGATGAGAGAACACAGACCTTTATCTGGAGAAAAGAACAGAAGTCATACGAGGTGAAGCCTTGATTTTATGACAAAACTATGTAGAAGTGAATGTGAATGAGGCAAGTATAGTGAGTAATAACTAAAAAAGTTCAGGAAACCGAAAGATTCGTTTTTATAGCCTTTTTTGCCGAAAAGAATGTTTTATGCAAAAATTCCTTTAACACATTGACGACAAGGCCGATTTTTCGATTACTGCCATTTCGGATAGGAGCCTTTTTTGCTCTGCCAAACTTACGACCCACCCGTGGGTCGTATTGTCCGAAATGGTAGTCTTTTTGTAAGAAATTCAAAAATGTCTCTGTGAATATCCACACAAGGGTTATCGAAGGCGCTGATTATCAAAATATAATGTTTCAGTTTTTGGCAGTATACGGTAAGATTACGGTAGTCACTCTCTACGAACCCAACATCACGGATTTTTGTGAAAAATTGTGTTTTGGGGTAATTTCACATGCTGATCACGATTATAGTGTCCACTTTGTCCACTACTTTCCCACAGTGGGACTACGGTAGCCGTACGGTAGAATTTTTTAAAGAATCAAGAAACCGATGTAAGAAGGCGGTATTTGAACTTGAGACTATCATTTTCATAATCAGCATGCTAAAAACCTATATATGCAAGGTTTGAGCTTCCTGGGATGAACAATGCGAAAAATCAATAAAATCAATAAAATCGTAATTTTGGATGGGCTGACATTAGTCTCATGCTCCCCCTGTATTTCTTGTGCATGTAAACTTGAATTGTCAAAAACAGCACCACTCTGCGAGAAATTCGAGTTAAAATCTGTGCCTTACCTCTATCTACGATATACCTACCGTAACATTACATTACAGTACCCCGGACCCGGACCACTCCGGCTAGAGCTTCGCCAAGGTGTCCCCAATCATGTGCCAGAATACCGTAGAGTTCCATCGCATGCTAGCAAAGTTAGAGCTTTCGAAAACTTACGACCCACCGGTGGGTCGTATTGTCCGAAATGGCAGTACACGTACGACCCACCGGTGGGTCGTATTGTCGTCAGTGTGTTAATATTTGGAACAACATTTCTCAGTTAACTTTGTCTAGGCTGCGATTGTGTGTAGAAGTTTACGAAAGCTGTTAGAATTCAAAGAAAACGAGAAACTACACTTAAAGTCGGACAGAGATTCGCCACGTAAATGCTGCTTTATCTCTTTATAGAGCGGTTTTCTTCACAAGGTTATCAGTGCTCCGATCGTGTCATGAGGATCAGAACGATATGTAATGTTGCAGGGATTCGTTAAGATTACAGAGATCTACAATCAGGGCCAAGTGCCCCATTGTTGGCCTTGGTCTTTCTTGTCTGCGTCTCCGCGTTGCGCGCTACCTTGCTACCCCAAATGCGGGGCGAAGGGCATTTGGGCACGGTCACTCTTTTCTTCGTTGTTCGGAATCCAATTTTGGCAAACTATATATCATATGAAAACTCTTGATCTCTACTTTCACGTTGACAACGTCGCACGACCCCTCTTCAATTTGAACAAGAAATCTGACAATAACCGAGTTTTCAAAAATCTCTTATTTTTCTTCAATCCAACTCTTTTCTTTCGGTTTTTTGTGTCGATAGATCTTGCTTCTGTCTATATGAAAACAATGTCACAGAGCTTACTTTTTTGCTTATTCCGTTTTTTGTGAAAATTAGTAAAAAGTGCATTTTTCTTTACCTTTTTCTTTTGAGTGCTTTCGCAACGAATTTTTTTTCAACTTGGACGACGCTTCTTCAAAATGATAAACGGAAGAATCTAAACAATGTTAGGATAGAGAAATGCGGGGGGGGGTGAAAATTTAAAGCACGCATAAGAAATCACGATAGGCGTCGATAGGCAACATATCTTTTCAGAAAAGAAAATTCGCGTTTTGATATGTTCTATTCAGTCGTTGGCAAGTTTTCCTTTTTTGATCTCCTAACTGCTACAGCTAAACAGCGTTTTTTTCTCATATTGGAAAAGGAATTTGTTCTTGCTTCCACCCAAGTTGACTACACCTCAGCAGGTACGCCGTGCACGCCACGGACAGAATTTGTTCTATACAACTTCTCCGGTTCAAATTGGCAAGGCAGCAAATAAGGAGTGAGGCTGGGGGTAGATAAATGACTTGATGTTAGAAGCAAAATTGCTCAAGGAGTGCTAGTTCATGTACTGCTGACGTCGCGTTGGCCTCGGTTCGCGAAAAATCCCTGCTGACCGTTGTCCCTCCTCCCCCCCCCCCCCCAATTCATCCGGGAATCTTAAAACGAAACCTTTGCGTAAGAAACCACCAAGACGAAAGGTGCAAATTTGATAGTGTGCCTACCTCTGCTTTTTATGAATTTTTCACGTTTCTTAATTTGCTTCATACTTCTTAATTCAATTCCATAATTACTATCAGTTATGGCCCCAAAAACAGTTTCCATGTGCGATCACCACGAGTCCAGATCTGTCTCACGATGCTTTTGAGTGTATAAAAGAAAGCAGACTGAGAACTAGTGTTCTAAATCACTAGTACGCAGCTTTTCAAAAAAGGCCGCTTTGACTTACCAATTCCTTGTAGAGACGGTAGAAGAACGAGTATCGCCGTGTCTCTTATTATTGTCTTTCGCAAGAGCGATCGCACAAGGATAATAGTCCGCAAGACTTCGAATGCTGGTAAAATTCGTTTTCTCAGCGCTATCTCAGTATCGAGGTCACAAAATTTCGTAGTTTCGGCTGCAGGGATTTTTCACATGCTTATCACGAATGTCAACTTCTGCTCAAAATTTTTTGTATGGTTACAGTGGGTACACGGCAGGGACCAAAATCACAGCTTTGGCTGAAATTTGATCTAAGAGATTATCGGACATGTTGATCACTAGTGCTATACTCTCCTTGCGTGATGAAGCCTTTCCGTAAAGTCACGGTCTATATACGGTGTGAAGTTGCAAAATTGCATCTTTAAATGGAACCTTTGTTAGTGTTTTTCTGAAAATTATAGCCATGGATTCATTTCTCACGCAAGTAGAGGCTCTCGTGGCTTTGACAAATCTGTTGACATAAAAAGGGCAAGAAATTTGTATTTTCTCTTTATTAAAAGAACTATAATCATACAACTCCATAAAAACAGTTACTTCTACAAGTGAGTATCATATTCGTGCTTAGCATGCTAGACCATCTTGCAAAATTTTTAGTCTAATCTGTAATTTTCGATCCCATACCGTATACTCATCGTGACTTAAAGCAACCATGATCACGGTCAGCGAGTGTGACTTTCATAAATGGGTGCCAAGTAACGCCCCTGACAGGACTTATGTCGCCGAAAGGGGTGGCCCTGACGGTCATCAGGGCCTGCAGTAATCCCCCCGTCGTGAGAGTCGCGACATTCAAAACATCGCACGTACCCAGCACGTATCGTTTCGGCCGCGTTTCGTCGCGCGCCTATCTCTTATCACAGCCGCGCGGCGAAATCGCACGACGTCGTGACTCGTCCTCGCGCGCAGAGGACGAGCACATCGTAAACTCGTCACTTAGGGGGCAGAGTAATAAAGATAGTGGGCCCAGCGTGTAGACGCAGGAAGGCGCAACTGACTAGGGGTCGAGTACGCTGAGGTCGCGTCCTTATGCAAGGACCGTAGATACACGGCACTAGGTTCAACGCACGCCTTTTGCAATCGTTATCAACAGCTGATAAGCGCCCAATTATCCAGGCGGCGATCGAATCTACCTATTTTTTTGATTGTTCTGCACTACTATGCTCTGTAATTTAGAAAGATGAGTTTATTTTGATTACAAGTTATATTAGGCCCCTATTTAGTCGTATTTTGTTTGGCTTAAGCTAATTTTTCTCTTTAGTCTCACATTGCAATCCATTTAAGCGCTGATTTCATCTGCTGGTAAAATTCCTTGGTTTCTACCCTCTTAGAAGTTCATTACATAGTTCCACTGATTTGCCGTTCATTAGCTGTGTACCTAACGTTTCCCTTGATTTTTGAGAAAGGGAACCGTCTGGCATCTTGGCTAATAGAACACTATGTATTTGCGCCAACTTAGGAAATGAATATTTTACGATGAATCAATTTTTTGTGTTTTCATGTTCCATGTGATCATTTTTCCTTTACTGCTGAAGAACTGACTATTTTTTATT